TAAAGTCATTAAATTTCAGCAGTAAGTCTATCATTAGTCGCCTGAACTATTAAAATCAACCTCAAGGGGACTTCACTCTCCTCTATTAACTTTTTGAACATCAGTTCTCGAGTCGTTTACAAAGTAATTATTTTGTTCAACAATATTCCAGTTCTATGAATTTCGTATCTGAAAAGGTTGGTACGTGATCTGCCAGTGCGATGAACAAAACTCATGTATGATGGAAGTTGCAAATACACAGACAGCTATAGAAACCCCAACATGACTACGGAGGCTCAGGAGTGCTTTAGGAATTCATTCAAAGAGGAAGCCTATGTCTTCTTATGCAGGAACGACAACAAATTCCCTTCAACAAGTTCTGTCGATCTGTGGGCTAAGACTTCTGGATGGTGATGAACCTTCATTTTTAGGGATGTCAGGGTGTTATACTCACAAGGCTAGTCTCTTCAACACAAGGGCCACTTTGTCAGACTCGGCAGTGAGGTTTGATCTCGCCTCAGCAAAGCAATTGATAGACAGACAGTAGACCTCCAGCAGAGGAAGACCGTGCTCAATGGAGTTCCTGTTCCCAGCATAGTGAATCAGTGCCTGAAAACATAGACACAAACAAACCTAAAAGTTAATTCTTTATTTATAAAATATATATAAAAAAAAAAAAAAAAAAAAGAGTCCTGACTGTACATGTTTTTTGGAGCTGTAATCAAAGAAGATAAACAGATCACAACTGTCTGGAGAAACAATGCTTTTGCTTATTTTTTTTTTACCCATGGGGGCAACAGTCTATGCCTGACTGTTCTCAGGTGACACTCCATCTGGTCTTAGAAAACTCTTGATTGGGCCTGAGGGGAAAACACTGTTTTTGAAAACACCAAACCTGGACTAAAAGCTAAAATGTTGTTTAAACCCAATATTTAATATTTGGCTGTTTAAATCTTCTTCTTCTTTTCCTTTCGGCTTTTTTCGGGGGTTGTCACAGCGAATCAACATTTTCCATTTCACCCTGTTCTCTGCATCTTCTACTCTGACTCCAACTATCTGTATGTCCTCCCTCACTGCATCCATAAATCTGCTCTCTGGCCTTCCTCTATTTTTGTCTCTGAAAATGTTTTTCATTAATCAACCTATTACATATTCGGATGCTTAAACAAACGTTTTCTCCCTAAATTATGTGTAAAAAATATCATCCTGCAGATTACATTTCTCACCCAGGGTGTCACGGGCATGAATCAAGAGAACGTAAACAGTAGACCAGAAGTTCGTACTATCAATGTCCCGTGAGTCCCATTTGTCAGACAGAAGGAACTTAGCCGTGTTCCGCTCATACTCGCAGAGGAGCTAAATTAATTCCCCACTTAACTTAGTGTTCCGCTCATATTCGCAGAGGAGCTAAATTAATTCCCCACAGTCCTAAAATAAGTAACGTTCTCAAAGGGAGCCAAGATTAGGACCTTAGCCCTCGAGAGACCCTCATGTGTGCTCTAATTACTTCCACAACATATCCGATTGGAACACAGAGTCAACAGTGAGACAGAAAAAAGAGTCAGTTTTGTGTTTTTATCAATGAAATAAAATATTCCCCAAAAATGAAAAAGACAAGTTCATGTTTTAGTACCAGCAGCCAGTTTCTCAATTACTGTGAAACATGAGGCATCGAATGAGTATATACATATATGAGTGCACTCAATTATGGCAATTTAGGCACAAGAGCGTTTCTCTTTCTTCAACAGACGTTTTCATCACTGCAAGCTTTCTAGTGTTAATTACAGTGAGTGTATTTTCAACCAAAAAGAAGTTAGAAATAACCAGCATGTTTTGCTGCATTAAACACGAACTACAATAAAGTACGGCTTCACCAGCCTTTGGAAATCATGACTGATTTTGTGTGGTTGAGTAGACAAGATGGGCTGCCTCATGCGACTTAGCAATTTGTTGCAAACAAAAAACAGTTTGTAAGAAGGAAATCAGGACCCACATGAAATAAGTTGAAGTTGCATCTGTGCTGCATTTAAAATGTATACAAGGTGCGCACAGTAAAAAAGGAAACAAGATTTGATCTGAGAGAGAGATGTGTGCACAGTGGCACACATCTCTGCAACAGCAGTCAAAGGTCAACTACAGTTCAGGGCATGATTTGAAGAGCTTAAAGAACACCATTTTTACAGTATTTTTTCAAGCGATTTCCTACAGATCAACAGTCAACTGAAATAACTGTAGTTTTTGTGTTTAATGCCTCTCTTAAAATGTTGCAGCTTAACTTTCTGCATGGCTATAGTGGGGTTGTTTTTGATACTGGTGTCGTTCACCAGTGTTTGGTGGTTACTCCAGATTTTACATAAATCACTGTCTAATTAACTCACTGACATTTTTCAAATCACCCGTCTATCTCTGTCTGTTTATTTCAGTACCTTAAGAATTGCCTGGGAGTTCTTGACTCTGGAACCTTTTAATAACTCTGTGTATTCTCATCTCAAGTTGGGGGCAGAAACTATTTTTTCCTCATGCTTTGACAACTGACAGCTCAATCTCTTAACCTTGTTCTATTTAAAGATAAATCTCAGTTGTGATTTCAAATCTAAAGTACAATATAAAGCAATACTTTGACGTAGGAAATAAAAGATTTTATAGAGTCAAACAATGTAGGTTTTTTATTCTTAGCGTAAACCATTTAGTAAATACTTTAACAGTGTGTAATATATATTTTATGGAGACAAGCTAGGTACTTATTGGACAAGCCCAAAGGAAGTCTTTCTGGTCAGTGTGTAGTAGCGTGGTAAAACATAAACGAAAGTAAAACTATGGAACAGATTATTTAATATCAACTTTACTTACCTATTTTTTTTATAGCGGACACACTCACTTTGTCTATTTTTTTGTCCTAATTATGTTAGATTTACTTGATCAAACGATGCTAATTAGTCACCGATCATTAGCTCATTAAGACACAAAGCACACCTGGACATAAATACCAGTCAAGATCTCGTATCTCAAGATAGTCGTTGTCACTTCCCCACGACTATAATAACATAATTTGAATCTGAAAATGAATGTAACGCATGTCAGCTAACACCAGCTGGTCTGAATGTTTGCATAAACACACGGACGATGACGTCCCGCCCCACAGACACATGCGATTCTGCACGCTGTGAAAACTGACAAATTGTCTTGTGCATGCAAAGGAATGCTTTTGCATTGCTTTTTTAAGTTATTATTTGTCTTAATCGGAGTAACGCGAGATTTTCTGTCAAATGAATGAAATAAAAGTAACAGAACAGGCTGAATTAATCAATAGAAATGTGTTAGTATCATACGCCAATTACATGGTGCCAACAGTGAACGATGTGCATAAGCAAAATAATTAAAATCGCAGAGCGTATTGCTGCCTCTTTTTTTTTTTTTTAATCACCCATTGTGAAACACCAGCAGCAACATTGCAATATTCGTAAAAGAAAAACAATCTAGGGCTGAACCAGCGATGAGCTAACGTTAGCTTCCTTTAGTCATGTATACATACACATATGCATACGTTACCTGACAGAAGTTGTCGCAGTACTCCTCCGAGGAAAGCAAAGAAATTTCCTGCTGCTTGAGCACGTCTTCGAAAGCTCTCAGTGTCGCCAGCAGCGTTTCTATCGCCACCAGCGTGTCCTCGGCCGTATCCAGGGCCCGGTCGCCCCATTCGGGCTCTGGTTCTACACCACTCGCCGCCATCTTCGCTCTCCGCCACAGCGCGTATGCAGTGCAGACTGACGCTACCTTCAAGTGTCGTCGGAATATTTGTGCGCGGCAGCTGAAATTCACCTGACTGCCATGAAACAGGGAGGGGGGAGAGAGAGTGTTGATTCGGTAATATGAAAATACCCGAGGGCCTACGGCTCCTCTTGTGATACCTAAATCCAATAGTTATAAGTTATACGTTAAAATGCGTTTGCTTATTGAGAACGTAATTTAAACCAAGCCACTACAGTGGAATAATTTGAAAAAATTCTAATAAGTATTATCTTGTTTACCATACATTTAAAATAAAAATTTAAGTTGTAAAACATTTGGCAGTGTGTCCATTATTTACTCACTGTGCTCGTGAAAGCATCATTATTCACCACAAAATGTCCATATATCCATTCTGCACCGCGTATTATTTTTAAAGGGTCGCATGGAGGCGCTAGAGCCAACCTTAAGCGGTCAACAGGCCCAGGTCATGGTCTGTAACTATTTAAATTGAATGTATACGCCTAACATATACTTCTATTTGAAACTCAGTTAAAAAAAAACTTCAATTATAGGTTAGACCACAAAATAGTATAATTGTAAAATTAGCACGGTAACAAAGTCAGTTAAAAAAAAAATTCTTCAATTATAGGTTAGACCACAAAACAGAATAATTGTAAAATTAGCACGGTAACAAATAAATATTAGCGTTCAAAATAGAAGACACCCAATAAGAAAGAAGTCACTGATCATAAAAAAGCTTTGGCACCTATTCAAGAAATACTTCCTGAAGCAATCGTGCTGTCAATTGTTTGTTTTACTGATCATAAAAAAGCAATCGTGCTGTCAATTGTTTGTTTGTTTACATTAATTAACAACGTGACTGCAAAAGTAACTACACCTTTATTTACCTTATTTGATTTAATAAGAATGATTTAATAAGAATATGAGTCACATCATGACTCGACCCACAACCTATCTGAGCTGGGAAGCAGCCGTATTGGATCACCACCTGTTTACATTTGTCCGGATAAGATAAACTTAACAACACCTTTACAATGCTAAAACAAAGTGACGTCTACCACGTTCGCCTACATGTCTGGACAATCGTGTTGAAGACGGGGATATTTAAACACTATATTTAAATTAACTACTTAACTCTACAAAGTATAAATAAACGGTTTAATACCACGTACAACACGTACAACACGTACCGAAACTAAGAATGGGGATCATTGGTTTGTTTCATTAATGCTCTATTTAAAATACATTTGGCGACCTCTATAGGTGAGTGGGTGTAAGTATCGTTTTTGTTCGACCCGGAAGTATAACCGTATCATTCCCTGCTGCACATGTGAAGGAAAGCAAACACTAGAGTGGACGCATGGACGTGAAAGCAGTTTTGCCTTAAAAGATCGACGAGGAACGTCAACGATTTTATCGAGCTACTGTATATTAATGACACGCCGACAACCAGACGAAGTGAACGGATAACCTGCTTTTCCTTACATTTTCGCCCACTATTAACATTTTTCCTACGGTGACTCCAGTTATTTTCTGTTAGTATCAACATGGGGAAGTCTAAACAGAAAGGAAGCCACAAGAAAAAGAACCCAGGAAAGATATTTAAGACAAAGCGCAGAACCAAAGACCTGGATCAGATTCACTCAGACCTGAAGCCCGAGACAGCATCCAAACTTCTCCACCAGGAGGTGGACTACGACGTGTCAGGATGTGCACAGCACTACTGTTTACACTGCGCGTGAGTTTTACTCGTAGTCTATCTTAATAATGCATTTGATTTATCTATTTAAGAGTACATCTATCACAGACAACTTTCTAAATATGACAACAACACAAATGTGGGATATTGTTTAGATGCGGTTACCTGCAAAACTTGTTCTATTTTCTTTTCTTTCGAAAAACCTGTGTATTTAGTTAAAATCAGTTGGCCATTCAAGACGTTTATATTTTTAGGAGCCTTTCTTTTTTAGCTGGCTATGGATATTATGAAATCGAATAATCCCTCAAATTTGAGTAACATTGATCTTGTCTTTTATCTGTCTTGCAGGAGATATTTCATAGACATGAAAGCCTTGAAAGACCACTATAAAAGTAAAGTTCACAAAAAACGGTGAGACAACAAAGTCACTTGTATTTCACTTGTGACTTTTCTCAAAAACAGTGACATAAGCGTCAGCAGTACAGTTTTTTTTTATTTTATTGAATGTGATTCTGTTTAAAGTGAGTGTTCACATCTTTCACCACTCAGGCTGAAACAGCTCAGAGAGGAACCCTACACTCAGGCAGAGGCAGAGAGAGCAGCAGGCATGGGCTCCTACATACCTCCAAAGATTGTTGAAGTGAAGACCACGCCCATAGAAGAGGACATGGACTGATTTGGACAAAGAATTATGAACTCTTTAAGATAGTAATGAAACAGTGTTGCTCCTGACCTCCCTCCCTCCCCCCTCTTGCTGCAGACAGCAGACGCATTCTTCAATGCTTGTTTATTTGCCAGCCACTTATTTCACTCTGTTTGTGATGTGGTCGGCACCAAAGTCAGGAAAGCCTTACTTTACACTTCTGTGATTCTGTTACGTGTTGTATCCTGCACCTGTGTAAATAAATACACAGTAAGTGGTGAGATATATTTTACAATGTACAACAGTTGAGTCAGATTGTGTTTATCTTGGAGACCACAGTGTAATTACAACGTTTTCCAATCGAGGGCTTGTTATCTTATGTGGAGACCACAGTGTAACTACAACGTTTTCCAATCGAGGGCTTGTTGAGAGATTAAATAAATATCTCACTCAAATTGTTGTTGTTTTTTTTTACTTATTTATTTATCATGTGACAAATACCTTCTCTGGGCATTGATTCAAACACCTAGGTGCAGTTACAATCGTCCTTACAGTTTTTGCAAAGCAGCACGAATACAAATATTACAGTAAATTTGTTTTTTGAGTTTTTAAGTATTAACATCCAACGCTGAGGTCCAGCATAAACAGTAGGAATGGATTATGGAAAGGAACGTAATCAAACCTCCCTGGCAGGGAAGGCTATAATTGAAGTTGTTAGACATTCCTGGGTTTAACAACGTAGTCTGCCTCTTTAAAGGAGTCGACGCTGATGTTGAAGGTAGTGGGAGGAAAAGAACATCCGTTAAATGCTTTCAAAACAAAAGCCGATAATTCAATAATACTAGAAATTAAACTAGTGTATTCAAAGGTATACGTATAATAAAATATTCTTTTTGGATCTCTATGCAGCCAAAGTCGTGCCTTTATTCCACAACAGGAAATATTTTAAAGTTTTAGCTATTCTAAATATTGTATAGCTATTAGCTACTTTAAACTTCCTAAGTTGATTGAGCATGTTTGCTATTTCTTTAACTTGTTACTAATTGTTAGATATGTTTGTATAGAAGTTTTAAACGTCCTAATTTGATTGACCATGTTTGCTATTTCTTTAACTTCTACTAATTGTTAGATATGTTTGTATAGATCATTTATGTTTTATCGTTTTTAATTGATAATAAAAAAATGAATACCAGTAGTTTTCTGTTCGCTATTTCTCAATTGTTTTGTTTTTAGTTTTTTCCCGTGGTAATCGAAGCAGATGTGTGTGCTCTTAATTTGAAACTAACGGCTGTATTTACCCGGTGTTGTCGTATTTGTTAGTCGTTAACTTGACCCACATTAACAGCGTTCATATGGCTTTAGGCTGGATGTGGGAAATAAGAAATCTGCTGCGGATAAGTAGCTAACGCTGGGCAGCTGTTGCCTGTGAGTGAGTACGCTGGTCCAACGAAGGCACGGAAAGTCTGGCTACAGGACAGCAGAACTCTCGGTGAAATCCGAGAGTTCCTTGCGGAGGAAGTTTCTAACACTGGAGCGGAAATTATTGGTTTGTGGACGTGATCTGACCACAATGTCCTTGTCTAAATAGCCGAAAAAGAAATCGAGGATGGCCGGGGACGTGGATAACAGAGTCCCGGAGGATGTGAACAAAATCCCAGCCCGGAATGATCTTCAAAGTCCGGGCTCTGGCTCCTGGATATGGAAAGCCGTGTGGACCGTCGTGGTGATCGGTGCTGTTCCGCTTCTCGCTTTTGGGATCAAGTATTATCAAGATGCCAGGCTCGTCAGGCGTCATGTAAGATTAACATTCCATAAAATATCACAAACTTGTAAATTAGTACGGTTTTCACATTGACCTCCAAGTACATCTTTTTAAAACTCTGATTGCTGTAAACTGACATTTTCTCCCATCAACACTATGCGCGATTCTGTTAATTATGTTGTCAGACATCAGTCGCTGAAAAAGCAACACATCTGTACTCCCCCCCAGCCCATACTGTTTTATTGAGGGGCTGTGGTTCTGAGTGGCAGCTGGTAAAACTCACAGCTCTTGTTTAAATTCACACTTGGTTGACTGCTGCAGAAGGTCCTCCAGTTGTTCTTGTGCCTCCTCCTCTCTCCCCCTCCATTGTGCGCAGGCTTGTAGGCACGCATCTGTCTGACAAGTGGTGGTCTGACAGTCAGGAAACACTTGGCAGGAATCTGTGGCCTCAAGGCTGATCTCTATCCAGACTGGACTACCGTGGCGGAGGGGCAAGGCTTTGATAAAAATGCGTTTCCCAGACTGTAAACTGACTCCATCAAGAATGAATCTGCAAAATAGATTTAAATTGAAGTACACGTGTAGAAAAGGATGGAAGTCATCTAGACTAGTGAAGTCTAAATGATAACAACACCAGTAGAAATATGACAAGTAAAAAGATTACAGAAAACAGAGCCAGTGTTCAACCTGTGGCTCCTGAGCCACTGCAAGCTCCGTAGGCTCTTTGAAATGGACTAAATGTAGCCTGTAATGCATGAAGTGTGCATTACAACATTTATAATAAAAAGAATAGCAACAATAACACCTAATGCTGAACTTGCATGCTTGTATACATGTATTTATATGTATATGAAAATGCCTCTGATTTAGGACTTCACTCATTAAGAAAATAAATCAGTGAGCCTCAGATTTTCACCCATATTGAAGCATTTTGTCTAAGTCTGATCTGAATCCAACCCATTCTTGGTGTTACTCATCTGACCCACACCCATTTTGGACCTCCTTAATAAACATCCCACCAATACACATGCAATACAGTTCCAACCTTTCCGTGACCAGAGTCAGATTTAATCATGAAGCTATTTGTTGGGTGTGGGTCTATTTGTCAGCGTGATAGTCATGATTGGACAATGGTAGGGACTTTATGAGTCTGGTCACACTGTGCAGGTTGTAGGTACAGACTAATGTAGGGTTGACCTGATTTCCATTCCCTGAGGGAAGATCCCTGAAGCGTGTAAAATGACATTAAGGAACTGTTCTATGTCTCTGTGTCTCTCCATCAGGAAGAGAGCGTTCGTGTTCTGGGCACAGAAGGACTCTTTCTCTTTGCCTCCTTAGACACAGACCACGATCTGTATCTGAGTCCCGAGGAGTTTAAACCTATTGCTGAGAAACTCACAGGTACATCGTGGTATCTTTGTCAGACTCCCACAATGCCTTTCTGCTGTTTCTGTATGCAAATATATTCCCTGATGGCCTCTGCTACCTCTCAGGGATCACAGCTCCTGTGGATTTGGAGGAAGAATTTATCTCTGATCCTAACGGGGAGACCCTGACGTTGGAGGCTACAATGCAGCCCCTGCTCCTCGATACAATGACAAAAAGCAAGGATGGTTTTCTGGGGGTGAGTCAGTCCAGACGAGCTCTGTTACTGCACTTTGTTCATAAATTGTTGTCTAATTTTTCTCTTAAGAAAGTGATTCATCGTGAACAGGGATGAAAGATACAACATGATTTTTGTTTCATGATTTTATCAAATGAACTCCAGACAAATTATGACAAATGTATTGTACCTCATAAACTGAAATTATCTTAACTATCAAAATAAAATAAAAAATCAAAGAATTTCTTAGCTGTTCTTTCCACGTTCTGTTTGAACACCTAAATGTCACATGGGCTACGTGGGGATTGTTTTAACAGATGGTCACTAGCAACATTTGAGACGCATACCGCCACCTACTGCACTAAAGTGTGTAGTGTCATCGTATGACCAGTGACCTTTTGAGAAAATGCAACCTCCTATTTATGCCTTGATGCAAAATTAATTTTTTTAACTGTCACGTGTTTGTAACGATTTAAAAAAAATTGTGACTTCCCTTACTCCCAGGTCTCTCACAGCTCTCTGAGTGGTCTCCGATCATGGAAAGCCCCAGCTGTTTCCTCTTTACCCTTCAGTGCCAGCCAGTTCCGGGTGTTCTTGCCCCCAAAGAACAAGGTGGAAGTGGGAGACACGTGGTGGGTGATTCCCAGTGAGCTGAACATATTCACAGGATATCTGCCCAACAATCGATACCAACCACCTGCCCCTAAAGGCAAAGAGGTATCCTGAGAAACTATGAAATTATTAGGCTGTGAATTCAGAGAAACAGCCACGAGAACTCTCAGCTTCTCTTTTCCAAATGCAGGTTCTCATCCACTCCCTGCTGAGTATGTTTCATCCTCGACCCTTCATCAAATCACGCTTTGCTCCCCAGGGCACGGTCGCCTGCATTCGTGCCAGCAACGATTATTATTATGACATAGTCTTCAGGTAAGACGAGGACAAGGAGAAAATTAAAAATATCTTTTTACACCAATTATTTTACAGACAGAGTTTTATATTTACTGTATTTAAAGTGAATGCCAATTGGCCCATAATCAGAAAATGTCTTGTCGTCTCTGGTTTTACTATTGTCAAGTTTAGGACCTAAAAATATGGACCAAAAAAACCATAGTAAATTCTGGGCAAATAAATGTTTATTTGCCCCATTTTTACAACATTTACTAATATACTGACAATCTGTTGTTAATTTTGTTCTTAGATAAATACAAAATTTAACTTCTGACTCGTTTATTTTTCTGATCAGGATTCACGCTGAGTTCCAGCTCAACGAGGTCCCAGACTTCCCGTTCTGGTTCACTCCCGGTCAGTTCACGGGGAACATCGTCCTTTCTAAAGACGCCTCTCACGTCAGACACTTTCACCTCCACGTTCCTAATGACAGGTGAAACCTTTGATTGACATGTCCCTTTACTGTTTTGAACTGTTTGAAACTCTGAGGTCACATGCTGTACTGCGCCCCAGGTCTCTGAACGTGGACATGGAGTGGTTGTACGGGGCCAGCGAGAGCAGCAGCATGGAGGTGGACATCGGATTCCTGCCCCAGGTACAGCAGCACAGATGAATTGTCAAGTAACAGTAGTGTTTCTGGTTCCATTCTGTTCCCTTCTGTGTAGCCACAAGCTGATGAACTTCTCTGGGTGTCGGTACTCCATGTCAGAGGGATTTAGCTCTTAGTAATCAAGGGATTGTGCATGCATGTGTACCTGATGAAGTGGCCATGATGTGTACTGTACACCAGTGTTCCCCAAACTGTTTTTCTGGGGACCCATATTTTAAAAGTCACAAACCTTCGCGACCCAAGTCAATAGACATTACTCGTAAACTCCTGGGAAACATGATGCGAGACAACCCCAAAAAAAAACTCTTTTGACCCACCTGAGGGTCGCGACCCATTTCTTGGGAAGCTGCTGTACACAGCATCACAATTTTAATGTCCCATATTACCATTTTCTCGTTGGTTTGCACTCTGTTGTGCTCACAGTGAATAATTCTCATCATAAATGTGTGTGTTTACAGTTAGAGCTGCAGTCGTCAGGACCGTCCACCCCGTCTGTCATTGTGGACGAGGAGGGCAACGTCATAGACAGCTGGGACGGCGGCAGCGAGCCCATCCAGTTCATCTTTGAAGACATCCACTGGACGTCAGAGATCAGTCGGGAAGAAGCTGCCAGACGTCTGGAGGTCACCTTCTATCCCTTTAAGAAGGCAAATATTCACAGAATTCACTATTTATTTCACTTTTATTTGAAATGTTATTAATGACACCAAGATTCTAATTTTGTTTTTGATCCACTTCACCAGGTTTCATACCTGCCTTTTTCTGAGGCCTTCGAGCGAGCACACTCAGAGAAGAAGCTGGTGCATTCCATTCTGCTTTGGGGAGCCTTAGATGACCAGTCCTGCTGAGGTCGGGATAAACAAATCACCAAACACAGATAGTGAAGTTTGAGAAAATGATTGGATGATCTGATTGGAATATTAAAATTCACTCTTGGAGAACAAATTATATTAATTTAGGTACTGATTTTTTTTAGAAATATAACAGCTGCCATTGATATGCAATTTAAAGCCTTAGACATGGACTTCCTTTCAGAAAAAAAACCTCTAATTTGTCTACTTTAGAGTACCCTTCTCCTATGAGGTACCTCAGGGTTTAGTACTCGGACCTCTATTCTTTCACTTTATTTGCTCGATTTTGTTTTTTGTTTTTTTACTTGACTTCTCATTGTGTGACTTGCTTAAATATAAGTATAATTTATTGTTCCATCAGTTTTGTATTTTATGGTATTGTTTTTTATGTGTAATATGTCTGTAGGTTCGGGGCGAACTCTCCGGGAGACAGTCCTGGAAAGTTCGCCCGTTCTGGCCTTGCTCAACCAGAGTTTCATTAGCAGCTGGTCTCTGGTCAAAGAACTGGAGAACCTAAAGGTAAACTGTCACAGGAGAACACGACCAGACTACAGAATGCAGTCAACACGCAGTTATTACTAGTTTTTCTCCTTCATCAGGCTGAAGTCAACACGCAGTTACTACTAGTTTTTCTCCTTCATCAGGCTGACGAGCAGAACTCCGTTCTGAGTGAAAAGGCCCGTTTACATTTGGAGAAGTACAATTTCCCTGTGGAGATGATGCTGGCTCTGCCAAATGGAACCATCGTGAGTATTTGAGTCACCTAGTCCAGTTTTAGTAATACTTGGAGAAAGCTTTAATTTTCTGTCATGCTCTCAGGTTCATCACATCAACGCCAACTTCTTCCTGGACCAAACGGCCATGAAGCCAGAAGAGGAAGGAGCGACGTTCAGCTTCTCTGCAGGGTTTGAAGACCCGTCAACAGCCACTTACATCAACTTCCTAAAGGAGGGTTTGGAAAAAGCTAAGGAGTACCTGGCACAGTAGAGCGTGTGTTTGTGTGTGTCTGTGTGTGTGAGACGGTGAGGAAAATGACATAAAGCCTCAGAGACTCAACTGGAGGAAATGATTAAATTCCTCTGAGAAATGATTCAAGACGGGAAGAGAAAAACTGTCCAAGTGTTTTGTCCAGAAACATCCAGAGTGGTGTTAACAGCTGCCTTCAGTCCTGTGTATCATCTGCTCTCCTGCTCTGAAATTATGTTTTATACAAGTATTTATAACATGACGGAGGGTGTTTACTGCAAACTGAGTGTAGGATTACTTTAATGGAACACAAAGGTCTTGCACTGAGCAGTAACCGGTGTGTAAAAAGACTTTTAATCAGCTCTCACTGCTCGGAGCTACTGATTAATGCTGATGTTAACGACGCCGAGTCATTATTCAGTCCGTTGGTGCCAAGACCTCCTGAAAACAAATCCTTATAAAGTTTAATAATCATTTCTTTGTTTTCGAATGTCGAGCGTGCAATATTTAACAGCTGAGTAGTTTTTTTTCTGCCACTGAACAGACCCCCAGACAGAGCGGGAGCTGTCCCTGCCTCCACTTGTGTTTTTGGCAGTTTGTGATGACGTTGCCTGAAAGCCTCCTGGGCCGGGGAACGCCTGATGTTTTGCCTTTACAGCTGGAGGGAGGTCAGCTCACTGTCTCCAGGGTCAAACGCAGCAGGAAAAATGACGTTATCTTTACTGTTGAATCCAAATGCAAACACTACGTGCGGATATTTCGTCACCAAAGAATCCAATATAGTTTATACATGAGCAGTAGCCGGCTCGCAGCCTGGGCAGCTGTTGAGCCTAAAGTTATTCACAAGGTCAATTGCCCACTTGACTTCATATTTATGTAACTCTGTGGATCTAAGTGGATTTTTGTTTTGTTTGGAAGGCACATACTGATGTGCATTGTTACTGATATAACCTCATGACTCTGGTTCAAAAACACATTGTTTGGTAATTGTGTGTTTGGCAAGATGACAATATATATTCTTTTTGAAGAAAAAAGTTGATTTTTCTTTTAATGTTTTGAGTGAATGAAAATATTTCCCCTTTACGTCCTTCTCTTTTGAGATTTAAAATCTTAAACCATTTAGTTGGTCCACACAACTCTTATAATAATGAAAAAGTTTTGTTCAATTTCAAATGGGGTGTGGCTTATGTGCATATAAATACTAATATATGTACATGTTTATATATGTGTAAATACATATATGTAGTATATAGATATGTATACAATTATATTTATATTTACATATATAATCTGTATATGTATACATTTATTTATATAAATTACTGTAATAAGAAAATAAGTGCAAATTAAGTGAATTAAAAATCAACGCAGGATTATTTAAATTAATGACAACTTTGTCAACGCTAACGTCACCATTTGAACCTTCGATATTCTATATTCTACCAGTGCCATTATCTTGACTCATAGAAATTCATTCTCTCATGCATTTCCATACAACTCTGACATTGTGCTGATTTTTATTTTGCTAATCTATAGTACCACACTGCACAGCAACCGTAGTGTAGATCAGAGTGATAGCAGATGTGCAGACACAGTGGTATGTGGGTCATCACTTCCAGAAAAGTAGAGTCAGGTACAGTGGTGAAAGACGTTGCCAGGATTCACTGCAAGTACAGAGGCGCCTTTAAAGTACTGTGACTACTATGGTTTATATGCACTTTATATGGGGAGAATCCTTTGAAAGAAGAGAAGAGTGAACTAGGACTGTACACCTGTCTGCTCTAAAGTCTGTTTATATTCTGCCGAAGTTGAGGATGTACTGCATGATAAAAGCAGCTGGAAAGTCATATTTACCCTAGAACTGATGAAGTCTCACAGTCACCTATTTACATTTAGAACAATGTGCAGTTACTGAGACTTGTAATTCGCCCCTGTTTCCAACAAACCAGTTCTTCTCTGGTTTGTCAGCTTACGCGCTCCACAGGAACAAGTCAGACATTAGGAAGTTAACGTCCCAATCTGCTGTGGTCTCTCTGGTTAATGATGGTCCACATGGACACATCCATCAGACAGTTTGTTGATATCGTTTCAAACACAGATACTACCATGAAGTAAGCAAGCTGCTGCCTTAGTTTTGGTCTACTGATAAATATAGTGGAGATGGATGGAGCTCATCAGCAGCGACGCGTGGACTGGAGGAAAGAAGAAGTTTAGTGTCCACTCTGCTCCGTCAGTTGAACGTCCATATCTCCAGCTCCATGACACGGAAGTCGTCGGTTTCTGACAGACAGCAGTTGTTGAAGGTGTAGCAGGGGCTGCTGCGGCCAAGATACAAGTTCTCATCCAGCCACAGACCAAAGTGACCACTGAAGAGGAAACAGATGAAATGGGAGAAGGGGTGAGTATTTAAAAAAAAAAGTGACAAAAAAAATCTATTAAGTTTTATACTTTTAAATGTACTATTATTAATTTTTAAAATGATTATTAATTCAATAAAGTAGTGACTGTCAGTCTGGCTTTTATTTGATTTAATTAATTCACAATAAACTCTTCCTTGTTTACATTCTCGTTACAAAATTGTCCCGATTATTATTGATTACTTACACTGTAATAAATGTCTAGACACAACTTGATTTAAGTGCACACTGCACAACTTTAGCTGCGCCTACAACATACGTAAAACCTTTCAACGACAACCACGCAACAGTGCGGTGAAGCACAGTACCGTAAACTCTCTAATACAGCTGACACACACAAAGTCTGTTTCGTGGTCGTCACTCTTAACCTTTATTGTGCTAAAAACCGATTGTAAAAGTTATTTTATAAAAAGAAATTCCACCAACGTTGAAACATTAAATTAATTTAACACTAAACGCAGCAATATTGTGTAGCGGAGGCTAGCAGGTAAGAATCACCAGTCAGGCGAAACCAACTATTTTTGTAATACCATATATTTAACTTTTATTTTGGAAGTCTTAAATCTGTTTATGTTTAAAGCCTTTCGTCTGTCATTTGCGTTTGTTATGCGCGAATTCGAAAAGCAAATCCCAACACATGAAACCGCGTAACACCGGAAATCGTGGGGGCAGTGTCGCTATAGTGTAAGCCACAGTCGCTGTTGAGTGGCGGAACAAGAGAGACTACGTTCACATGTTGTGATGAATTTAATGGACCGAGACACACGAAATCTATTTGAACATTTTGACTTTCTGGCAGGAAGCTTTTCCCTCCGCTACCTTGACTGTTATTGTCGGAGAAACTGAAGTGGGCTTTGAACTAAGCACTGCCCCCTAGTGGATATATTGCCTAACAAGTAATAATCGTGCCTCCAACAGATACACCTGTTGATTTACATAAAGAGAGCATAAATGAGGAATCAGACTCATCTGACGTTTTCTCTGTGGGGATTTCTGCACCTTTTGTTCATTTCTCATTTAAATTATATATATTATATTTTTTACATTTTTATTTGTTTGTAAGTTGTACGCAAAGAGACATCCTGGTTCCTTACCTGCCTCCACCAATGGCAAAAGAGTCCAAGTCTCCTTTGATAAAGAAGGAGTTTTCTCCTGTCCATTTGAAACACTGCACAGAAACAGAACACACACACATCACAACAAGGTTTTTTTTTTTTTAAATGAAGCACCGAACCATATTATATATTTATAGACTTCATTTTTTCCTATTCCAGTTGTAATTGTGTTTTTTAAATCTCTGTGAACTATTCAATCTGAATCTGAGCTAGTGATATTCAGCGTTTTTATTTTTCAAAATCAGCTGAACTAACTATAGAAAGAGCTTTTCTAACCATGAATGTAAGGCTCACCTTGAAACGAGGATGCAACATGAAGAGAAAGGTTTCCCCTGTACCGTAGAAAGTCTCACTGGGCCTTAAAGGATGAGAGAGAAAGGCTCCGAATACCTGAGGAAGAAAAGTCTCATTATTATACAGTCAAACATCAGCCATGGCCACTGTATTTTCAAGACATCAAGAAAACATTGAATCTTGATCGTCTTACTGGACGAGAACAGAATGAGATTAAGAAAAGAAAAATGATTTTGGGAGAAATGCTTAGTTAGAGATGATTGAGATACAGCACGTGTGTTTTCACCTCATCAAGCGCGTCCTTGATGACTATGAGTACAGGGGAGTCCGTTCCGCTTAGTTTTCTGTAGAGGGACTTGAGACTGGAGCCGTGACGTGACGTACTGTAAACCAGCTGCCACGTGCGGCTGACTGTCCTGGGGGGGAGTTCCTTAGACAACTGGAAAACATGACAAAAAGTTCTGTTAATGTAAATATTTGGTAGAACACATGAGGCCTATCACCTGACGGGGGTCAGGTGAGAGCCCCACCCCCCTAAAAAACCCCATAATAATAGGAATAAATAGGTAAAACTTGCTCGGTGGCACAGAGTGAATATTTGCTTTTTGTTAAACTTGTGTTAAACATTTGCAGCTCCAATGTCATCATTGAGGTTATTCATTGATTCTCTTTGCTAACTCTGAGTTTGTACTGGTTTAAAACAGACAGTAACTGTATCACTCACATTCACGCCTAGAAACTCCACTTCACAAGGCTACAACCTAACTGTTATACTGCAAATTTTAGGAGCCCAAACACAGATCCTTGTGTAAGAGTAGAGTGTGTTGTCATTTTTAATAAAGGGCTAGTATAGCATATTATAATATTACATTTGACATTTTGATTATTACATTTCGGTTGTGCTGATGTATGGTGAATAAGTATGCTCCAAAATAGCACTGCAGCATTGGAGGACATAAAGGGTTAAACTACATTTACATACAATACTCAACACAACGTGCAAATTTTACACAAAGACGTCCCGACTGTTTTGAGATTCAAACGAAGGACCTTGTTGCTGCAGGTTGCCAGGGTTAATGACCACCTCACTCTGGATTACACTCATGTACCGAACAAATTTATGGTTATATTTGTCAATTTGACTACATCAAAACTCAACAACAGACGAGAATAAATTACATTATACAGGCTTATTGTTGGGATCTGGATCACATCCAATCATTTAATGTTTCTTTACATTTGCTACCTAAAGTAAAAATCAACCATTTTAGTCAGTGAGTTTTGAAATATTGAATTGTTCAACTTTAATCCCAACCTGCGAAACTAACCCTTTAAACTCAGTCTCACTTTGGCAGAAAAACCAGTATTTTATGTTTAGATAGCAAGAAGTTTTAACTCTTAGACAAACTGAGCTGGAGTCACTCACCTCTTTAACATGTGAGGCCTCCAATATTTGGCTTTTCTCCACTATATGACACAGTCCTTCAGGGTCTCTGTCCAGGACTAACGCTGCTTTATCTCCGTTCTCTTCCATCAAAACCATCTGCAAAGCAACAAAGATGATCCATGGGTGAAAACAGAAAAGCCACTTTGATCCAGAAGATCAGCACAGATAAGTCACTTTTCTTTAGTCTCTGTGCCTTGAGGTGTGTACGCACACATCCCTGTCATTCCTCAGTGTCTTCACTTATTCCCTCATTAAACCGTACTCACCTCCCAGTCGTCGCCTGGGCCACGGTGCCTCTGGAACACCTCATCGTTGTCGTCGTCCTCCTCCTCCACCTCTCCTTCCTCCTCCTTGCCTTCAATCAATACAAACTCCTCTTCGACACGGTCTGTCACACCGTCCTCCTCCTCCCTCTCTCCTTCAAGTATGCACAGGTCTGGGCGATAGTGTGTCAGGTAGGAACACAGTTCATCAGCACTGTAGGAAAAGGAGAAGGAGGAGAAAACCTGTCAGTTTGCTAAGACACAGTACCTCTAGGTTGGATGTTAATGATATATCCGCTAATTTTGTTTGTGCTGCCACTAGCTAATATGTGGCTAACCTTTTAGCATTCTTCTAGGTTTTCTTTATATCTATTTACTTTTGGCTGTTTCTATACATATTTCCCATTGACTGGGATGTTTTGTAGTTCTTAGCTTCTAAGCTTAACTCTGCGCTATCTTTTTGTGTGTGTTTATTTTGCTTACGACTAAACATTAGCTGTATTTAAATAGATTCATCCTTAACCAGACTAGTTTTTCATTTCTTTGTCAGTTCATATAGTTCCAGCTAAAGGAACTTTTTATTTAAATATTTCTGCTTCTTCTTTGTTAGCTTTAAAAATGTTACCTATTTCTTTACGTTTCAGTTTTCCTCTGCTGAAATAGACCTAGCTAAACTCCAGCTATGACAAGGTTACTTTGAAATATCATATTGCCAGATCATCTCTAATTGCTACCAAATGTTTAGCTTAGCGCTTAGCTTTTATGTTTAGGCCAGTTTACCCCTGTTTCTGACCAATCCCTGAGTCACTTTGAGTTTGACTTTAGACACATTTCTTTTAAGCTTTTTCATTCTCATCCTCTGTACTGCACCCACCCCAGAGAAGATACCATACCTGTTAGCAAAAAGCTAGCAAACCTTTTAACAGATAATTGTGAACTTTTCTTCAAAGTTATTTTTTTTCCAAGTCTTGATGCTTCACACCTAGACTTTGTTTTTCCACTGATTGGCTACCTTTACTTCTTATGTACTACCTATGCTCAATATATGCTGTAGGTGGAATATATTTCAGTTATCACCTCTCTTGTGAGAGTGCGAGCCAGGCATCTCTTCGTGGTAAAGTTTTAGTTGACCCCAGTTTCTTGCCCGCGGAGGACTGAGCCCGCAGACGTACAAACATTAGACTCCCTGTACTTCCTGACGATGATCGAAGAGGAACTAGAAAACAATGAAAGACAAATTTTGAACCTGCTGTAGGAGGTCAAAAATAATATTCAATAATAATATCTGTCATTTCTACCTGTGCTTTGACTCTTAACGTTCAACTTCCCTTGGACCTCAGTTTGCTGCATCACTCTGCCTGTCGTCTCTTGACCTCCGCAGCAGAAGGAGGCAGCGCTGCTCAGCACAGCCACGCCCAGGCCGCTTACAGACCCCTCTGACAGCAGCTCTGGTGGGCTGCGGTCCAGCTCCCGCTCTGCTGCTGCTCTGTCTCTGCCCTCTGCCTCCTCCTCATGACCACAAACCTCTTTGGTCAGGCTCAAAGCCAGGCTGGACATATCCAAGGATGTTGCAGATACCAGAGCAGGAGGGGACTCCCCCTTGTGGTCTGGATATCTGGACAGGATTTTGGTGGTCCTAAGTTTCTGAAGAAATTTCTTTCCCTTTCTCCTGCAAAGAAAATTGGACAATTATTCAAATACTGTGATATGTCCCCCCCGCCCCAGGTTTGTCTGAGACGTGTGTAGTAGGATCAGAAATTATATGTTAGCTAAACATGACTAAGATAAAACAATTGGACAATGACGATGACTAATGCTAAAAAAAGTTAATCCAAATAGATATTTGCCAAACTTCATGTGTTTTTTTATTTGTGGTGTAATATATGCAAATAAATTAATAAGGGAGTTTTTAACATTAGCTTTTTTCCCGCATAATTTTGTATCTATTAAATGGTTTATCGTTTATTATTTATGGAAATTTGAACATTTTAAATGCATCAAGACTCTTAAGTATTTAATTTGTAAGGTTTTCAGCATTCAAAATACTAAGGAAACACCCCGTGTAGGCTGCAGACACGAAATTGCCGGTTTTAAGAAAAGTTGTTCTTTACTGACCTCTGCTGGGAGGTGCTGAAGTGGACCTGTGAGATGTCGGAGAAGAAAGAGACAGATGCCAGACTGTCCACAGAACAGGACAGGAGATATTCCTCACAGCCATGTTCCTTCACCACAGCCAGAGTCTTACACGGGTCAAAGAAGATCTTATTGGAGGTGACCAACAGGATCCCAGAAACTACACCCTGACAGAGACGGGGAAGAGTGTGATATTAGCTCACGAAAATGCCCTGTAAAGTGGAAGAAGTCAAGGCTTCCTACCTTTCGATCAGTGATGTAGCGACAGAAGAGTTTGAGGTACGGCACGGCCCCCGGCCCCTCACCCTGACAGCACTCTGGTGGCAGAGCCAGTAGACAGAGCTGTCCATCGGGCAGTGGAAATGTGTCCACATCCTGTGAGGAGAACATCACGCACAGACTTTGATAAACAAGCAGAGAAGCTTAACCTCAGATTTAACCTCACATAATCTTCAGACTTGCCCTACCCACTGACCTACAGTCCACCATGTCATCAAAAAATACTTCAAACTTCTGTGAACATAAGGATTAACTGTTGTTGTTCTTCTTCTTACCAGCAGTTTGTCATATTCTGCCTCTGGTGAGGGGGAGTGTGGAGGACCAGGCAGTGCGTCCACATCGTTTCTGTCCATGTCAGATGTCTCCTTAGGACATGAGTCTTGTTTCTGCTCCAGCGAAGACGGAACTCGACTGTCGGTTTTGTTTTTTCCTCTGGGTACGAGCAGCTGCTTCAGAATAGAAGCCATGGTAAGAATAGCTCTGACATTGAAAATAGAAACAGCCGAGTGACAAGTTTCTACTTCTTCCTGTTTCTACATGCCTGCATGGCCACCACTTCTTCTTTGTTTGTCGTCACATCTTAGCATCGGATGAGGGCTGTGCATGAGGGGTTTGTGGCTGAGTTGATTTGCTACTTAATATACTGTAACTCTTGTTGACAGAGTGATAGTGACAGATGTGCAGAACATGCACTGTGTGCACTGAGAACAAAGCGACAGTCCAGTTGCCTTTGACTCAACTACCTTTGACCCATATATTCACCAAATTACTAACACTGGTTAACATTTTTGTACTGTTAGGATAGACACATTCATGTTGTGTAGTACTTGTAATGACATTTGGTTTTTGCTTTATTTTCCAACTAACAACTGAGTGACCCCAGAAACAAACTGCAGATTTGACTCATACCTCCGTAGTAATGAGGGCAGAGGTGTGGGAATGACTGTGGGAGTTACTGTTGAGCTGCGAGGACATCCCGAACAAAGTATCCCTGTTAAGACCCTTAAATACAAACATATGTAACAAAAGTTAAAGAATGTAAGCCCAGAAACAGTGAACGTTTTTTTCATATAGGAAACATAGTTGATCATACCTTATCATTACCGTAACATTGTGTAAAGTTGGTGAAGAACCAGTAAAATAAGCTACAATTTAAATAGATTTGTTCATTTTGGCTACTATTAAACATTTTAGCTAATGTTTTACAGCTAGATGTTAGCAACTATGGTTGCCAAGGAGTAGATAGAAAAGAAATATAATAACTAAAAATCAAGAATTCGAGAAGAGCATCAAGACAAAGGAATTCACCTAATGACAACTTAAAGCTAGGCTAGTAGCTAAATCGAAGTATAGTCAAGTTAGCTGGTATATAGCTAAAATCTATGGTTAGTAACTGTTAAGGTTTGCTTAAAAGTTAAAAACAAAAAATAAAATAAAATAAAATACATGTAAAATAAAATCTTCAAATATGGTTTATAGAACCAAAGAAAGGTTGATATTTAAAAGTGAATGTCCTGCATTAGTGCCAGCAGAATTCACCTTTAAAAAATAAGTCACAGAAAACTTGGCCAGGACCCAGTATTTAGTCACAAGTGCTATAGCTGAAAAATATACTGTTTCAAAACAAAGAATCGGCTTCATCCACTAATCCACTAATAAATTAGATTACTGCTGCCTGATGAATGATGTGACCACTGAGAAAAACAACATCATCTGTTTTCATGTCGGGCAGAACATGTGGATGTGTTGTTCTGTTTGACTATCTTTATTTTAGAAAATGTGTAAAATACAACGTTTTACCCCGGCTGACTGCTTTCAGAGTTGTATTTTGAAACCTTGACATACGGCAGCTATCACACTGTGCCAATAACAGTTGCTCCAGAACAACTGATAAAGCAGTCTTTACTTAGATTCTCAACAAAAATCTAATAAAATGTCACATAAATCACTGCTGAAACTCTCACTGGACCTTAATCTGCTCTGACTTAACTAATACGACAACACAGATAAGAGTGCTAGTAAATCCAGTACCTGTCACTCCCCAGCACTCGAGTTTCCCACTGTTGCCGTTCCTCCGTAAACACACATGAAGTCAAGTGAAGTGTATAAAGTCCAAAACAAGAGCATGTGACTCACCCTGTTGCTCATGCTGTCATCTGACCGAGCAGCTATAGGTTCTTGCCTCACTGTGGTCGTGTTCAGATCCCATGAAGTTCCTGATTATTAAGAAGAAAAAAATAAATAACCTTCTGTCACACCCCGTCACAGAACAACAAGAGCCAGACAAATATGAGCGATGTCCCCTATACACACAGCATTCTCCTGTACACACTACTTTACCCTGCAGGTAGTACTGCCGTAGTTTAGGGTTTCTGATGTGTGGGATGTGGTTGAGAGGCCGGCCCACAGTGGGTGGGTCCAAACGCTGGGTGCCCACTGTGGACTCCAATGTGACACAAGCCTGATGCTGAGTCTCCCACGGTGGTTTGGCAAAGTGTGGAGGCTGAGAGACACCAGGGGGCAGTTTAGAGCCCATCCTGAAATATGGAAAGAGTACATTTATTTTTATGTAAAGTAACAACTAGACACAGACAGGTTGGATTTACTTTATCCATATGTCAGTACATGGTTGTTCCGAGTTCTGAAGATCCTAGCATAGACCCTACACAGTAACTCATTGTTTCCCAAAGACTGGGACGCAGCCTTCAGGTGGGTTGCAAGAGATTTTTTTTGGGGTCGTCTCGCAGCATGTTTCCCAGAGGTTCATGGTCATTGCAACAGCTGTAAAATATGGGTCCCCAGCATGGTCATCGCAACAGCTGTAAAATATGGGTCCCCAGTAACTGACCACCAAATTGTCCACAGGTTTGATGGAAATGTTTAGTGGTGTTGAGAATGAGGTTCTGGTTTGTTTTTAATACTTCAAAAAAGGGGGTAAATAGTAAACGTATACATGGCCCTTAGACCTGTCCACAGTACGGCAGCAGCTTCCACAACCAGCAGAAAACCTGCAGGGCTTTTTCTGGAGCTTTCTTTGCAATCACAGTTTTCGACCAGGCATCAACACTGAATTCTTACATATGATCTCCTTAAAAATAACACAACAGTAAAGAAAATACACAATATATCAGTAATATCAACAAAATAATATGTATGGGGGTTTATTAAAGCCCAGCGTGTATTAAAGCTATGAAACTCTGCATTCCTTCTCTATATCTACAGCTTAATTTATTTTTAATAAGAAGATATTGATCACTGCATCACTAAAAGGCAAAAAATAACATCAGCCAAAATGTAAGTGTGCTTTACTTGCTTCAGAGAATGTATTAGTGCCGGAGGGTTAGCTGTCTAATCAATGACAGATAAGTGGAATAATGTCTTTTATAGTGTCATACACATTAAAGAATACTGTCCCGGAGTGACTGGTCCAGATGCTGATGTGTTTTTTTCCTTCAGTGGCAGACTGGTTGGATGATTTGTTTTTTGATGGATTTTGATTATAATAAGCTGAACAAAACAGTAATGACAGTGTTATTGAAGATATTTATAGGCGGAGTGGGAGGTGTGTGTGTGACGGCTGTGGATGTGAATGTTCCTGTCGTATGCCACAGCTCTCACCCACGTGAGCTTCTGTGATGGAGCATGGAGAATTTCACTGGCAGTGAATGAATCCAGCTGGGCTGCTGCTTATTTTGAGCTTCCTAAAATCCTCTCTTTGTTGTGTCATCCTGCAGCACGACACACATTTAATCCCAAAACTTGAGAATAGAAAAGAAAAAATCTGTCTGCAGCTTTTTCCCCCTTTGGTAATCTACACATTTGAGAACCTGACCTGCTCTTGACGTTGCCAAAGTAGCTGATCCTGCTCTTGTCCCTCTTGGGCTCGTGGTTCTTGGCTCCTAAGGACGGCGGCCTCCTCACTGACTGAGCCATTTTCTTTTTTTTTTTTCTTTTATTTTTTTTAGTCTGATATGGGCTACATATGCAGAGGCAGTGGGATGTGGTGCTCAGCTGGCATCCTTCCTCTTTCTCTTATTCCCCATCCTAGTCCTCTTGTCCCAGTTTACAGCACCTACGCAGGAAGAAAGTCAACTGTTGGCTGCGTTTACAAACAAAAGATTGGAGACTGGAAGATGCTGCGCTGTGTCTGCAGTAACATGAACCCATGAGGAAGTGGGCTAGGTACTTAACAGCCTAATGGAAGCATGTTTCATTTCCAATTCAGTCAATTCAGTCAATCAGTGCATGCCTAAGACAACAGTAAGGTACAACTCACCCGGCAAGATTAATTTATATTTTATATCTCTATAATGAATCATTATCATCACACTATTTTTAGAGATTTAACACATGACAAATGGGTTCAAGAAAACAACATATTTTAACAGCACAAAATATTTGTAATGTAAGGCTCGTAGTCCTTTGACATATATTTGTGCAGGATGGGCTAAGTCTTATCCTGAACACTTCATGAGCTGCGATAACATAACATGACATCACTTGATCATGTGTCTCCAAAATAAAAACACTGAGCCTTCAGGAAAATACAGCTGACTGATGAATGGACGTGGAGGGAGTGATAACGGTGCAGACGACATTAGAGAATCACTGAGAGATCTAGCAATGGCAGTTAAATAAAACCATGACATCAGCAGCTGAGGAACGATGTAAGACGGAGGTGGGGGAGACAGACAGACATATGGGTCAGACAGAGGCTTCACTGACCTGTGTCCGGCCCAGGGATGGAGACGGGTGACGGTCAAACGAGCGCGTCTTCTTCATGTTGCAGTGTTGTGATATCACTGCAGAAAACGGCCAAAGTAGTCGACAGTCAAGATAGTTCGCGTCAGGGCGGGAGGGGTACGGTCAGCGAAGGCGGAAGTGTAAAGATGTGAACTATCTATTTACCTTTTAAGATTTAAGATAGACGTCTAATTGCAGATAATCTGCCGTAAAGTAACTTAATAAAGATCTTCCTCTTTTCCTCTTACCTGCTTGTTCAACATAACCACTATCAATCCTGCACAGACACCCGCTCCAACTTAGCTTTGTCCCCCATCTCTACCTTCAGACTTCTCAGTTTACCCATGTAGCTTTTTTATTATTTTATTATTTTATTATTTAATTATTATTTTTTAAAATTGTTTAAAATGTATTGTATGCAGGGAATTGGTCAATGAAATATGAAATATAGGTTAAATATGTACGGTACTGTTCCCCTTTATTTGAGTTAACAATTCTTATCTCCACCCCTAGAGAGTGCTGTGAGCTGACTTGACTAAGATGAGGTCATCGGATTTCAGCCAATCATATCGTACTAAAGGGTGATACAGGCTTCCGGCCTGATGCACGACAACACAGTTGCCTTATAAACAGTGAAGAACGGAGGCTGCTGACTAAAAAGATACGGTCGCGGTTTCTTGAGCGTCTGTTCCGACCCAATAGTAAGTTCGCACTGTTTGCTTTCTTTACATTTTTACGGGAATAAGTAAAACAAAGTTTAAAATGGCGGTCTGCGGCTGGGGGTCACATCGGGGACCAATGCCCTAGTGTTGCTAAAGCTAAACGTACCTTCACTCTGATTGTAATACCGGCTAGTGATGCTAGCATCAAAGCAGTTCTAGAATCGAAGCAAATTCTTCCTTTTGGTAGAGCCACTTTAAGAGTTCCATGTAACCTGAGTATTGCTGCCAATCGCCGATTCAAACCTGACCCAGCTTTTTGTGGCTGCGTTTCCAGTGATGCTCGAACCCATGCGAAAAATGTATCTACTAACGGCGTAATGGTTAGTTAAACAATATTAACTAACAATGAAACGTAGTTGGGTGTTTTGTTCTTTAACTTACAATGCCTTCTTATTTCGTATGACTTTTATGCATTAGAAAAACTCCGGATTTACACTGATATTGGAAGCGATATACAGTAGGATGTGATGTACATCCCAGCTAACTAATAATATGTTTATCTCCTAAAAGAAGATTACATCATACCATATCTTTCAATATGTATTTCTGACATTTTTCGTTTTACTTTCTGCTGTGTTGTGTGTTGTTGTATACTGTATATGCTTGCTGTTATAATCATTGGTCTTAATTATAACTCTTTTTTTACACAGAAATCTGCAGTCACAGCGATATGGCATCTGTTTGCTAACCAGATCCATCCTAAACCACTGTTTGTACAAAACACTGAGTGGTGACCTTTCCAACGAATGACACAGACCCTCAATAGCAATGGAAACAGATTCAGTAAGATTTTTATTACTTACTAAACTTTGCACTCTTACCTGTAAATTAACAGGAATTACTACTTGATTTTGTCTGAATAAAGTCATCCATATGGTACCGCTTGTGTTTTGTAGGAGGTCATTCCCATCTGGCAGAACAAGCCCCATGGATCCACACGTAGTGTTGTCAGAAGAATAGGATCAACACTCCCGCTTAAACCTCCACAGAGGGCATGTTTTCAGGTAACTATAATTAAAAATCAGACACACTGTGGCACTAACCCAGCCCTATCATGCCCTGAACTAGGTTACATGCCAACACCATTTTGTGTTTATGAATCAGGAGCTCCCAGGTTTATCTCTGAGACCTACAGACGGTCCCGTTGTTCCCACATTGGCAGATATAGCATGGATTGTAGCAGACGAGGAGGAAACGTACGCCAGAGTGAGGTATGAATACAATCAATCAGTTTCTCCTTGTTCTTGTGCCAGGCCACTCTCTTACAGCCTTGTATGTCAGGCTTTTACACTTTTAAATGTATTAGTGGCACATATGCAGGTTGAGGAAATGTCAGTCGAAGGTCATTCTATCCACTTTTCGCTGATACTGTAGAACAAGAGAAGTATTGATTCAGCTCTTTGGTAAAGTTTGCAGCTGTAGTTACAGATAGACCATCAGGTGAACATTATTTCCAGACTATAAAAGATGCATTTAAAGACATGCTGGGATGGGTTTTTTAAGTAATAAAATGTGCACCACTCTATTCAAGTCAAGTTGATTTTATTGTGTAGCACAAAATCACATTGCAGATTTAGTCTGTATTAGAGTGTACTTTACAAACTAAGACTGCAGATGCAACGACTACAGTTCTTGGTACATGTCATCTGCCAATACCAATTTTTGATTCTGATTTCAATCAAGTGACAAAACTACTCAGTCTCAGATTCAGATGCAATTTTTCTTCTATTTCAACAACTAAAAATAAAAAGCATGGTCACAGGAATGAGTAACTACATGAAAATGTGTATAGACTATACTCCTTTGATACTAAAATCCTCTGTTGTAAAGTAGAGCAGAATGAGTTTCACAAAAAATGGCAACAAAATTAGATCACATGCTGAGCAAGCAGTTTGGCAAAGATGGGGAGGAAAATACTTCCCTTTTACAGAATGAAATCTCCAGCAAATTCAGGTTCAGTGTTCGGCTGTCTGCCTCTGTAATGAGAGACTAGGGAAAAATGGAGAAAGCAGAGATGAGGGAGGGATAGAGACGGGGAGAGCAGGTGCTGCAGTTCTGAAATTACTGGAACCTGTAAGGTGATGACAGTAAAAATAGACAAAAAAAAGAAGACAAGGTTATTATTACATGAATCAATGTGATACTTTACACAGTGTGAGGAACCCAGTGCATGATGGAAGTTCTCTCCCCTGTAGACTATCCCTACAGCAGCATTACTAAGGAACAACTCTTGTTTTTGCAGGAGTGACGCACGTCCTCTGAAACACGAATGGCGGCCCACGCCCCTGCTGGTGCTACACAGAAACTCATCCGTCCCCAACTTCCGTCGTGAGGGCAAGAGGATGGAGGGACTGAAGAAGCCCGGAGTCACGGCCCTGAATCGCACCACAGCCCTGCAGGACGAGCTCAGCAGACTACGTGCACAGATCGCAAAGATAGTGGCAAATGATACGGGTAGGGAACAACAACTGAAAACACTGTCCCGCACACGGTGAATGTAAGACAGTTATAAGTAGCGACGTGACAACGGCTCACGCACACAGATGTAATCTCTCATCACTGATACCTACAATAAGACTCTGGTTCATAAAAGTGCTTTGAGGCATGTTGATTTGAAATTGCTTTATTGTGGCTACGTGAGCAGAACTTTGGATCATTAACATGATCAGTGTGTAGGTCAGGGACTGACGGATAATATCTGAACGGCTGGAGGCTGAGTATTCAATTAATATTTCATCAATGCATTGATTTAAGTCATGTTTCATGGGAAGAGTGCCAGAGGAAACAAGGTTCAAATCTTTTTTTTTAAATTATTTTGGACCTGACAGATGGTTTAGGGCAAGGATCATCGACTTGCGGCCCATGGGCCACATTTGGGAAGCCAAACTCTCCAATCTAGCCCACGACCGCATTCCAAAAGGAACATCAAATAATAATGTTGGATAAAAATGTTTTTTTTTATGTTATTTTATTTAAGTTTCCATCCCCTAATGTGTCTCTCCAGGACAATTCTGGCCCTCCAACAAATATATTTGGTATTCAAGGGCTATTTGAAAGTTATTATTTGTGTGGTGTGGTCATCAGGGTTCATGCTCAAATACCATTATTTTATTCAATGTTTTTGAAAACTTGCTTGAATTAAATTTCCTAAAATGTTTCCTCATTTGATATTCTTGACTGGATTGACAAATCATCCAAATTTCACATCATTGCTTCGTGTTGTCTTTCAGGCTCCAACCCTCTTACTCCTGAACTCCTCTCTCCTGACGACACAACTATGAGCTTCTCCATGGCACCTTTTGAAACATCGTCCTACCAGCCGGCTGCCAAAGCTGTTGCTTCCTTTGTCATCAGTGATGTCACGGAGGAGGAGGAGGAGGAGGAGGAGGAAGAAGAAATAGCGGATGAGGAAGATGAGAAGGATGTGGTCTCTGTGGTGTCAGAGCTGGTCCCTGACCCTCTACCACCTGTTTCCATGACAGCATCAGCAACCTTTGACCTGGACAGACCCAGCATGGACTTCAGGGAGGCTGAGGAGGACACGGTGTCGTTGTCCAAGTCCACGAGCTTCGCTGACGTTATGGACATACTGAAGGATATGAACAGGATGAAGATGAGCAAAGACAGGTAAGTGCTGCCGTTCGGTAAAGGTAGTTTAGGTAATGTGAGAGAGAAATAATCCACCTTTATACCGACATGCAACAATAACTAACTAACTGCTTAGCTAGCATCTAAAAACTTTGTAGAGTACCAGGACCGTTAGGGTTTCAGACTATTGTTAAGGATCTAATGGTTTCATAGCCTATGATGATGATATGAGCCAGCATGCGTTACGTGTGTCTACAAAACAACCACAAGTGTTACAAACACTGTGTCACTACTGAAACCAGAAAAACACTTGTGGTGACCTTTAGTGTCACATCCTGAAACTACAGCCTGCAGTGGAAGTAGTTGGATTCATGTTTTACATGTATGATAACAGCACAGAACATGTACCACATTAAAAAGATCACAGAGTGCACTACCAAACAAAAATGTCCCAAAAGTATAAGTAATGAAATTTAATGCTCACTGTAACTCTTACAGTTTGACCATGATTTTTTTAGAGAACTGTTTTTGAGTGAGTGCGTGTGTGTGTGTGTGTGTGTGTGTGTGTGTCTATGGCCGTGCATGAGTACGTGTTACCCTTTTAGTTCAGTTGCTCCTCCGTGGATTTGTAGGCAAATTATTTCAGTGTGACTACACGTAAATTGAAAAGAATAATTTACTAATGCTGAACACTTTCTTTTTTTCTTTTTTCTTTTTTTTCTTTTTTCTTTTTTTTTTTTCTTTTTGTTAAATCGTTGCAGATACAACCGGGGCTGTACGTCCTTAAGAGAAGAGGACTCTGCCTCACTGATTTCAGAAGTTTTAAGGAAAAAGTTTGTGTTGAAGGAAGAAGACACTGCTGCCTTGAACAGAAAGTAGTGCAGGAACATAAACCTGCCGTTCAATGTAAGCTAGGGCAAATAATCTTTTTTTTTTTTTGGTTGGATTTAAAAAAAAACAACCTTTTTATGATTTTTTTTTTTTTTTCCAACAACAACCTTTTTATGATTTTTTTTCCTGTGCTGTTTTGTTTATTTTCAAATCTTTGGAATAAACCCATCGGAACTTTACTCCTCTAGACCGAGGCAATAGTTGTCCATCACAGATAAAACAACATGAAGTGCACAGTGCAGGGTGAGCGAGAACAACCAACTCTTGATAACAGAAGTGTGTTCTTCCGCCTTAGTTATGACTGCACTTTTCCCTGATGGAGAAAAGGCTTTAAAGTTCACTCTCCATTTGCAAAAGAAAAAATAAACTGCCTCAAAACGCAGCTCTGCCGGGTGAACTGGTTCTATCATTTGACACGTCAGTCTCCGTGATGACATGTTCAGAAATGTCATGACAAAAAGCCTTTCTTTTTAACTTAAAAATAAATGCATTTTATTTTTCAAAATGTACAGAGAAAGTTCTCGATTGTACTTGAACACATTCTCATGATGCAGTGTCGCTCCTCAGTTGTTGGTGTGTGTGCGTGTCTGTGTGTGTGTGTGTGTGTGTGTGTGTGTTTGGGAGACAGTGGACTTTTAAAATGTTTCAGGACTCATTTTACCAGTGCATTGTTTTTCTCCACTGAGCCTCATTATTATAATCTTGCCCATAAAGTGGTAGTCACTGAGCCGCAGGTCAAGGAGAGTGAACTGTGTAGTGTTTTCAAAATGAACAGATGTTCTCGTTCATTTTTTTTTTTTTTTTTTTGCACCTGTTGTCATTAAAGTTACAAATGTCTACAGTTTTGTTGAGTTGACGTCAAAGGGAGAAAATATATGGAATTTTTGACTGTGTGTGTGGTGAAGCCTTATAGCAGATTAGAAGTCAGTGTCGGATTTTGTTTCTTTATGCTCTCGGAGTGCCAAGAGTTTATTTTAGTCGGTTTAGTTTTAGCTCAGTGCATGTTAATTACATTATTAAAATGGCAATGTTTATTTTGGAAAATGAAAATTTAAAATGTCAACATGAGTAGTTGTCGACTATAATTGTGTATTTGAGATGGAGACCCAAGTTAAAATATCCATGTTCTTTATATAATATGATTTATATGATCTAATAATATTGAATTTGTTGTTTAACGTTTTTTCCGCATATTTCCAGTGTTTTATTCACCTCACCTCAAGACTGTACCTGCGTTTTTATTTTTTTGTTCGTTTAACAACTTGTGAATAAAGATGGGCTGATGTTTTTGAAACAGCTGTGCTGTTTTATACAATAGCATGTAGTAACTAATCTTACCACTGTGGGGCGGTATAGCCATATAGTCAGAATACTTCTCAGTTTCTCAGGTGTCACTTTGGTATTAGTTGTTTGGACGTAAAAAAATCAAAGAACTATAACGTCAGTTAGTTAATTATAAACGTATTATTAATTATATTATTATCTTAACAGTAAACGCTATGGTCGATATGCTATGATTGGATACATAAGGACTGAAAAATGTCAATATTCTATTTCCTGGCTAACTTTTCTGAGAAAAACATCAAGCTAAGAAACATTCTTTCATTAACATTAGAAATAGAAAAAGTTTTTGGGGAAAAAATTGAAACAATTCTTGTTTTTGTTTTGGTTGTGTCAAATTTAACCCCATTTTCTAAAAAGGCTAAATCTTGACCAGGGGTTCACTAAAGTGCAGCGCTGTATAATTTCTTCATTCTCATTTTAAGAGTTATCTGACTTAAAGTGATAAGGAAAGGAAATCTATTTTTAAACTTTTAAATAAACACTGCAGCAGTCACCAGTATCCCAGCAGTAGCATGTGGCCCTGGGCTACTTTCACATCAATAAGTCTGGCCCCCTTTGAAGACCACCTCTTTAATGCCTGGAATAACTCTCTGTAACAATTCCCTTGATCACCTCACAATCCCAATTTCTAGGATTATCGTTAACCCACATTTCTCCCATCTCCGGCTCCTTCCCAGGATGATCTGGCTCCTCAGTGAGTCACTGAGTCTATTTTCTGTCAGAGTCCTTGGCCTAGTTTGTCCCTCTGCACCTCCACGGTGGACTTCTACCTATTTTAGACAGAGGAGGTGTCTGTGGAGAGCTCACTTAATAGGACTTAGTGTCAAAGGAGGCTCTGTTGAACCTATAAATACTGTTGCCTAGTTCAAAGTCACATTGTCACTTTGTCGTTAGTGTAAAGAATCATTTTCATTCAACTGTTATTTCAGTAGGCAACTGCTGGTGTCTGCCAATGCTGCTTATGGTTAATATCATCAGAAATGAAACAGAATGAAAATGAGTAAAATAATTAGAAAAAGTAACTTTTAAATCGTAAAATGTGTTTTGACTGTAATTAATATTTTAATAACTTTTTTATTTTAAAGTCTATGAATTTTCAAAGTATCCAGTGGCTATTTTCCCTTTCCCAGGGTTGTTTATTATTTCAAAATAAGACGTTTTTCACAATTCAAAGTATCCAGTGGCTATTTTTCCCTTTCCCAGGGTTGTTTATTCCATTATTTCAAAATAAGACGTTTTTCACACTCCAATACTAACATAATTAAGTCTAAAAGACGTTTTATTTTGAAAGCTTTCCCTCGTCTCAACGATCCTTCCACCTGGTACGGCCCCACAGGTCGGTGGTACGGGTTGGTTAGTTGCTAAAGGGTTCTTGATACAAAAAGGTTTGGGGCAACTGAAACAGATTATTTGTATAGAGTGACATTAGCAGCGTGCTACATAATTATTTTTACACGTACACAATAGAACAAGTTTTTCAATACGTCTCTGTGGGTTTACACCTGGTGGACAATTAGCAACCGTCCCATTTGAATGCGTGTTTTTGGCTAATTCCCTCCCATATCTGATTGGACGGTAGAAGCCCGTGCCAATTTTCCACTGCGATATGAAACATTGGTGCAACAACAACATCAGGAGGAAGACAATCTGTCATCCTAATGGGTGGTGTGGTTTCTTCATTCCCCAGAACCTCGGAGCGCTTCATCACTGTCTCCTTATGAGGCTGATGGTGCTTCATAAACAGGCTCGTCACTAGAAAACACAACTCTCTCTTCCGGAGCCCAAATTGTTTTAGAGAACAGTTTCATAATAGATGCATATATCTATATCTGTTGATATCGGAATAGGAATCAAGTATTTGAACAGTATCGCGGTTTTGGATATCGACATAAAGTTAACATCAGACATCCCTACTTAAAATGTAGTCAAAATGGGTGAACCTAACCAAGAAGATGGCCAAACACGTATATAGCAAAGATAGCACAAATAGGTAAAACAATGAAAAAAGAAAAATACCCAACGACGACAACAGATTAGCACAAAAATCCATATGAAACAAAAATGTTTAAAAATGAGCTAAAAGAGAAGATGGCTGATCAAAAAACAAATATTAAAAAATATGTATTTTCATAGTGAAATTATTTTTGAAATTGTTAATTTTCTTAATTGTTTGAATACTATCCAATTTGATAATGACAAAAACTTTTTTAACAATTTTTTGTTTCTTATTTAAGAATTTCTACTTTTGGAAAATATTATATTTCATAGATTTGAAAATATCTTGTTGAAGTTTGACTTTTTTTAGTAACGCTTAATGCATTTATTACATTTTTCTTAATTTTTCCTTTCTATTTAATGTTTTTAATGTAATTGAGACGTCTGGTTCTCACCAAGTTTGTCCCTGGTCCAAAACATGAATGGTTTTATTTTTTGACTTTAGATTGTTCTGTCTGATTAATGTGTGGAGCCCTGCTGCAGTGTGGAGGCTGATTCTGATCTAAACACCTGAACTGAAAAAACCGGAGGAAGACGGACTCCTCCTGGGACTATCAATCAAACACAGCAGGTATGAGGAGAAAAAGTGTCAGCTGCATCTGTTTGAGATAGATTCACTTTGGAAACTGCTGTGTCGGCACTTTACTGCTGGAAAATCACAGAGTTAGAGCTGAGGTGTCGGGGGACATTCACAATCATAGTTCTTGTGTTAGTGTACGTTGTACATGTTAAAGGAAATAAGTTATAAGTAAAGACATTTTTAATCCGACGGATCATTCTTTCCTCTATAGAATTACACAGAAAAACCCATTCAGTGGTGAGTAATTGGAAAAGTTGTTTTTTTTCCCCTTGTTTTTCAACCATGTATAATTTGAATTATTATTTTTTTTTTTTTACCATATGCCCATCTGGCTTTAAGTACTTGAAAATGAAGTTGGTTTGGATACTTTTTTTGTGGTTTAAAAAGGAAATACCACAGACTCTGAGCTTGGAGATGACCAAAGCACCTGCCAACTCCTGTTTTTCTCATTACGGACACATGTGGGGAAGCAGTGTAAGAGCAGAGTGGTTCAGTCAGAGCTCCACTCTTTATCCACATCGTCACCATCATAACGAGTGAGAATTAATGATGTTTCGTGAGCTGTCTCCTGGTTTTGTCCTGCGGCCTCTCAAACACCGTTTGTTTTTTTTACACCGTGAGGATCAGCGCCTCATAAGAACATGCCGATGACTCAACCATCTCTCCTATTCTTAGCAATAAGGACTCTATTGTTGGAAATTTCAAGGACATTCGTGAATCAGTCTTTGTCTATTGTTTTTTTTTTAATGAATGCATCCAAAACAAAAGGTCAGATTGTGGACTTCAGAATGAAATCCCACTCTCATCTCATTTATGCTGAATGGTAAGTGTGCTTAGTGATACAGCTGTACCTTCACATGTACACAAACACCTGTGTTGTTCAAGGACAATGAATATATAAACTTTGAACACAGGGAACTTTAAAATCTAAAATGACAGCAATTGTACTGGAAAAATCTTAAGTAATGTGATTACATTTGCAGTATGTTCACCCCACTATTTGAAAACTACTGGTATAAGCTGACAATAACACAATTGCACTTTGCATGATAACGACTAAGACACATTATGCCTCCAATACCCAGCAGTTTAATTATGAAGCCTTTTTTGTTGCATTGCACTTGCAGTAATATGCTATGCCTTTTTTTTAGTAAAAAAACTAAAACAAAAAACAGGCCCAGTTGAAGAGCTGGCACTTGAAGGTTTTGTTTGTCGGTTTTGCTGTGTTGCTTACAAACAGAACAAAAACCATCAGCTGCGATGGTTCATCTATCCATTTACTTAATTCTAATGACGGAACAGACCTAGAACATGTGGTTAGAGTTCAACTGTAAAGAGAAAAAGAGTCAAAACCCCAACCTTCTCTTTAAGGAGACCCGCTGTACCTTCTCATCATCTCCATGTTGGTCCTAAACCTCTACAGGCCATACTG